AATATATATATAATCATATATATATATATATAATCATATATATATATATAGAGAGAGAGAGAGAGAGAGAATGTAGTACCTGGTCGACGGTGGCTGCAGAGCTTTCATCATAATGAAAAGCGGCTTCAATAATGTAGGCACCTTTATTCTTGTCAGCGAAGGCACCAACAAGCACTCTATCCCTCCCAGACAGAAAGGGAGAAATGAAGTTTTCTACGTGATTGCTGTCTGAGAAGAAGAAGCCTTCAATGTAGTTGAATCCTTTCTTCATCTCCTTGTCTCCATCCAAGGAAATCAGGTGCTCCTCACAACTGGAAAATATATTGAAATCGTTGTAGACTAGGGCAACCCATCTCACCTATATATTAATAATCTGCTTGTAATCATAAATGTACAAAAAATAATAAAAAAAAAAGATAGAAAAAAGTGACAAGAAATGAATATTTACTCAAACCTTTTAATAAAGTGCAAGTATATATATGTCAATTATTTGATAAAGTCCAAACTTTGTAAGAGTGTACTGTGCATAGATGTTTCTTAATTATTTTGTTAGTGATGTATATTATCATTTTGAATAAATCATGTAATTTTTTTTTATTTTTTTTACTTGTTGGGAAATTTATATACATACAACACAATTCTTTTGTATTTACATACGATTGTAGCACTTTAACGTCAAAAACTCATACATTGAAAAATTTATTTTGACTTTTAAAAAAGATGATGATGATAGTATTCTCAACGTGATGCTAAAGATTTGAGTGGAATGTATATTAGTATGAATGCTTAGATGTAGATGGTAAATACATAAGAATTGTGTGGTATGTAAGTGTCGATCACCCGTGTTGGGTTTGATCGGTCATCCCGAGTCGATCAACCGATCATTTGGGTTCAATTGACCATCCCGGGCCGATCACTCGATCCTCTGGGTTTGATCAACCATCACGTGTCGATCACCCGTTTCGGGTTTGGTCGATCGTCCTAGGCCGATCACCTGATTCCTTGAGTTCAATAGACTGTCAATTTTGGTTTGATCAATCTTCCTAGGCCAATCACCCAATCCTTTGGGTTTGATCAACTGTCGCATGTCGATTACCTAATTATTTGGGTTTGATCAACTGCTACATGCTGATCACTCGCTTTGGGTTTGATCGGCCATTTCATGTTGATCACCTGTTCATTTGGGTTTGATCAACAGCCAGTTGTTGATCACCTAATCCTTTAGGTTCAATTAACAGTCAAATGTTGATAACCCACTTTGGGTTTAATCGGTCAGCTTGGGGTAGTCACCATTCCTTTGGGTTTGATTGAGCTCTACGTGTCGATCACCCGCTTTGGGCTTAACTGGCCACCCAACGAAGTCGTATTGCCTCTTGGGTTTTGATCGGCCACCCTGAACTGATTACCTACTCTTTTGGGTCTGATTGATTGTCTTGGATCATTCAATCCACCCTCTTCGGTTCGACCAGCTGCCACGGCTCGGTCGACCGATCACTTGCATGCTTATATGCTTTCTTTCATGCTGCATGTTTTCTTGGCTTGTGTATGAAGAATCTTTTTTACTTGATGTCTATGATTTATTTCATTGCATGTAAAATATATTTGTCTTATATGCTTTGCTTGTGGCATGTCTTGGATGTCTCCTTAAGCACCCTTGGTTTGGGGCGTCTCTCTAACCACCCTCACCTCGTGGTGTCTCTTTGAGCACCCACACCTGCGAGTGTCTTATCTACATACACAACCGTATACATGAAGACTAGACACTTGCCCCTTTTGAGAGGAGATGACTTACATGTATAGCCACATGCTTCGCTGCCCACGACACCCCTTAGAGTGGAGTGGGGCATTTGACATTGGGTTGAATATGAGTTATATTTCACAGCCGCTAAACTAGTATGAGGCACAATGTGTGTCCACCTAAGCATGTGATTCTCACCTGTATGAATCATAGACTTAGTATGTTTGGCACTTTTCACATTTGTGGGTCATTCACATGTTGTATATTTGACATTTCTCATATGTCTTCCACATTTCAGTATGCTTGACTTATCTCATTTGTCTTGTTGCATATCTTGCATGTTTGCATGTGTTCTCGGTAAGTGCCTCTTGGGTAAGGTGTAAATACACTTTATAAGTATTTTTTTACTCGATGCAAACTCACTCGTAGCTGGTGCTTGATTGTCACATGGCACCTCGGGTCCCCCGGGCAAGTGTAATTCCATTTCATAGGTAGCCCATTTTGTCGGCACATCCCATTTGTGTGTGTTATGTTGCATGTAGGCATCTTTACATTAATTTGCATGATGTGTGCTTTGCCTTTTGGCGCCCGTTGTAATTATTTCATGCTTCGGTCAAACAATCACAATATGGGTCTTTTGGATGTTTTTATCCTTGCACATTTGGCTCGATGACTTGTCTTACTTGTTACAAGAGTGATCTATTTGTCGGTCGTGATACCCAAATGAGCATTGCCCCGATGATATCTTGACAAGCAATGTGAGTTTCTATATCACAAGCAATAAATAGTATGATTGTGCTAAGGATCCAAGGACCAAAAGTATGTCACTTGATTGTTCCGGATCTACCATTAGCAGCCTGTTATTTTAAAATATAAAAATGGTTATTTTTGGTATTATAAGTATTATCCACCTATTTTAAAATTACATGGATGTTAGGCCATATGTGAGGCAACCTCATTTAACCATGTCACCCATTTTCTTGTAACGCGCTTTAGATCCCTTAGATCTTTAGGAAGGAGCCTATGTTGCGACCCCGTCAAATTCATACGGTAGCCGGAGATTTTATCCTGTGCACTTAGATATTGGTTAATACACTTTTTGTTAGATGATGTGTTGTGTTAGGATCAGGTTGCTAGATAGTTTTTTGGCACCTTATTGTTCCGTGCTGGCTTGGTTATCTTAGCTAGGTGCCTTTTTTCTGCTTGTGTCTTTGGTGTACTTGCATGTTATTTGATTTTGGTATGCATGGTAGAATATTAGGTTTGTCTTCTACAGAGATACCATGCCATATATGCACACACAATGGTACAATAAAAAGGGGTAGCATGTGATGATTTACATGCTAAATTTTGCTTGTAGGTGTTGCATATCTCTCCTATCATGCATGACCCAGATACATTTGCATGTTATAACTCGTGCTAACACTTTTATGTAGGTTTAGTTTTTCTTTCACATTCTTTTTATACTTTGTATTACTTAGGAGAGTACTGTAGTGGAAATAATATATAAGCACAGTTTCTAAGGCATTTAGCAAGGGAACAATGTTGTGGGGAACCATGTGAAAATAAGTCCTGTATTATAATTTTGTATTTGATATTGATGTATAGATTTAAGAGCATGCATATATATGCAAAGTCCGATTACTATTTTATTTTATGGGATATGTTGTCGACCCAGTGGCATCGGTCTTTATTTAAATTTGACTTGTTTTATTGTTTTGCTGCGAGCATGTATGTTTGGATTGTTTTCAGCCTTTTTGGGTTATGATTTTGTTTGGAACCCAAAATTATAGTTTTGGCTCTTTAAGGACAATAATATTATAAATTTTTTATAAAAATCATAATAAAAATTCTAGATTAATCAAAATTTAGGATTAAATATTGAACTATTTAAAACCTGCACTTTAATTTCCTGCATGGCCTTTGAGCTGGTTTTAAAAGGGTTTGCATGAGATGGATATATCCCAAGTCATCTCTAATAGGGCCTCCATAATTAAGACTAGATAATTGCATCATGTTGCTTGTCTCGAGAAGAAGTCCTCATGCTACTTCAACCCGGTTGACCAAGCATAAGTTTTTTATACTTAGGTGGTTGTTTAGTACGTGTAGGTTGTTAGAGGCTTCCTCGACCTAGAAGAGGAGTAAGTTCTTTGTCGAGAGCATTTTTTAAGTTTGTAGCTGGACCTCTTATTTCCTTTTTTTCCTACGGCATCCTTATCACTTTAGCGGCTATAAATCCCACCGCTTGGAGATCCACCTAATAGTCAAAAGATAGAGATTCATTACATTGACCTTAGGGCTACCAAGATCTCCGTGGATGATCCAATTCATAGATTGTTGACCAGGGATCTCTAGACATGTTGGTCGACTACCTCCACAACCAGGTAGACTTAGGGTTCTAGTAGCTTGGGATGATGTGTCTGTGGTACCCCGACCCAACTACCTCTATTTTTTAGGATTACTCTACCCTTACTCTTATTGAGCTCCTTCAAGCCCTATCACTCCTTTGACTTTGTTGATATCACCCTGATGACTCGATTACCAATGAGCTATAACCCATTTGGGATACAGTGATTCACCCTCTGTCCTTATGACCCGGACTGCTCTAACATATAAGGATATCCCTGTTGAGTGATTTTGGTTATTTCATAGGTTCTGATGCAGACAAGCCGAAACTCATTTGGGATGTGAGAGGCTCACTCTCTACCCAGTGGCCTAGCGAGATTTTTTAAGCATTGGGGCATTTCCATACGAAATAATCAACCTTTAATTATTTTTCATGTTCATGATAATATAAGTGAAACTCCTTTTATGGAGAGTATTCCTAGGTAATCATCAAGATGTAATTTATTAGAGGGATACGCTCCTCTGGGAAACTCTTGACCCCACAATAAAAATTTTTCTTTTTGATTCTCTGGTTACAGGTGGCTTATGTTGGGATTCTCTTCTTGGTATTGTGTTTTGAGGTACTTCGATCAGATCCTTTTCGGACGTATATTCTCGACCCAATATATGAAGATTATTTAAATATAAGTCTTCTGCTTGTTTCTTTTATTTTTTTGACTATTTGTCTTCGTATATCCTTGTTTTTTATTCATCTCTTCTTCGAGTCATTGATATGATTCAGGAGAGGGATTTATTTGAATAAGAGAATTATACGATGACATATAAATAAACAAGTTGGCTACTTTGAGTCCCAAAAAAATCGAGAAAAAGAGTGTAAATTTCAAATTCATTTATGTTTTACATCGTATTTACATGTCTTCATACCAAACATTTATTACTGAAAATCCATGTTATTACTGAAAATCCATGTAAGAGAATTACATTGCATTGCATATCCTTTCAGACAAATAGCCTCATAGAAAACCTAATTCCACCATGTGACTGCTTACTCCCACCTTGGTTAATTTCAAGCCTGAAAAATCTTATCAAGAGTAAATGCATGGGGTTGATGGATCACAATGGAATCCTCTGATTTCTTGTTAAAGAAACAATAAAGATCTAGATATCTCAAAATATTTATGATATATATATATATATATTATATATATATATATATATATATATATGCTATTTTTGTCATTAGGTTGCTCTCATGATAATGAAGGTATTCCTGATTAAGCATCTTGTTTATCCCTAAATATTTTTAGAGTTATCAATGTCGGTCGATATAAATGTTTGATTTTTTCTCTGTTTGTGGTATTGGTCGGCTCTCATCATTAAGAACTAATTGTAGCCACAACGTTCCTCACCTAACATTCTAGTCAAATCCTTTCTTTTATCTTTCACCATCACTTGGCATCAACGCTTTTTATCTCTTCTTAGTAAATGATAGCCAACTAGAGTGAACACTTTATTGTCCATTATTCAATGTTAGTTATTAAGTGACATATAAGTCTATCATTATCAATCTTCTATGTTATTAAAAAAACTAATGATAATTGTTACATATTAATTGATATCGGTCATTAATCAAGCTCAATACAAATTGCTCCTTTCTACCAAACATTAACCAACAACCAACATCATTGCCCACCATTGTACACCTCCAAAAACCTATGATAGATCAACATTATGCCTTTTGTTGCTTACCACACAATGTTAGTAGTTGATAAATATTGAATCCTTACCTGCAATCCAAAAAATAATCAATGACCAACACTCAAGGCTAGTCATTGGCCAACATTATTATCCGACATCTTTTATCATTTGATTACAATCAATGATTGATATTGAAAACCATCATTAATTATTATGTGATGCTAGAACTTTACCAATTCTAACCAAGCATGCTTGTTTTTAGTACCATTCATTAATTAGACGTAAGATTCCTCTTTAATTATTACTTGATGGTAATTAATGATTCATTTCTAATGTGTATTAGCCACTAATATGTGACAAACATGTTTTTAGTTTCATGATCTCTACTTATATTATGATAAAAATCATGAAGAACCGCAGCCATCATTCAACTTTAAAATTTTCTCTTCATATGTCACATGATGCTACTCATTGCCCTTCATTAACATAATACATTCATTGATCAAAATTCTCAAATGTTTATAGTTGGCTATTGTCTATTGATGCCCAGCTATAATTTATTATTATCACGTTTCATAGTTAGTAGATAATAGTATGCATCTATCTATCAATGTCATTCAATGCAAACATTCATCGAAATCTAACTCTTATGGTTTATAATACTCACCAATATTTCATCTACTAATAACAAACATTTGATGTCCATCAACGCCTAACATTATGCTAACATCATGAAATTGTGATATAGATAAACTTATTTTAATAAATGCAAACATGTCTTTAGAAACTAATTTTTTAACTAAGTAATTATAAATTTGATTAAATTAAAAAATCAAGAAAATGAAACTAAATAAATTAGAGGAAATGATCTAGTGACTAAGTAAGAAGACATGAAACAAAATACTTTATAACAAAATTTAAAACATTTTTATTGAGTCATATTTTAATTTTCTTTCATTATTATGCTTATGTGATGTGTTTTAGTTTAATGGCTTTATAGGATGCTTGCTTTTATTGAAATTTTTACTATAAATTTTGGGTTGAGTAGAAAGTTTCATGAATTAATTTCATAAAATTTTATTCTTCTGGAGGATCATACATTTGATTTTGATTGTACCTATGAATCATTCTTATTATTTGGGTGGAATTATGCATACAAATTAATGTATCTTACACATTAGAAACTAGCTATTAATAGCAAAAAAACCTTTTAACATTGATTACAATAACAATAATATCTTTATCCATAAACCTAAAATCATTATCATACTCATACATATGATCTATGATCATTCAAATAAACATAATTGGATCATCTTAATTATTGGCCATCCAAAATTTTCCTGAATGTGTTTGTAAATGCAAGGCTCAAATTATAGGGGAAATTAATTATCCAGCTAATTTGATCTTTTAAAAGCTTAAAAAGCTTTTTAAGCCAAATACCTTCATTCCTCTACTATTTTTTTTTCTATATTCCCAAGATTTTCAAGTTAAACTTTCAAAAGCAGAATAAGTCAAAAGCATTCAAGTAAGATCATCTGAGGAATTTAAGAAAGATTTATCCTTTCTTCATCTACCAAAGCACTATAAGAATTTTATTTCAATTAATAAATTTTATTTTTATTCTTTAAATTTTTTGCTTAATCTCATTGGTTTTTGAATTTTTCAGTCATTTTATATTGTTATTTCTATTTGATAATTCATTTATATATTTATTCTTTTAGTTCTATGCTTAGTTTGTTTGTTTACAAAAAAAAAATTCAAATATTAAATCACACACCTATAAGTTTGTCATATCCTTATTTGATATTAGTGCCTCAATATTTGGAATAAGAAATAAGAAATAAAAACAAATTAACAAATTAACATTTGATATAATCATCCAGAGTAGACCAATACAAGAAACTCAACTTCTTTTTAAGAAATTAAAGTAACTACACAAATTATTTCTTAGATAACATTCTTTTTTATATCAGATAAATAGGATGAGTAAATTTTTTATTACAACAAGATATTTGAGTATAAAATATTTTATTTTATTTATCATATACCCAAATGTTAAATACTAAATGGAGTGAAAGTTGAGAGAATTTTGATGATTGGACTTAAATTTGAGATCGTACTTGATAAACTAAATTTTAAGGTCATGAGTGACTTATACAAATTTGAAAATTAAAATTAAGTTTGAAATGAATAATAAATTTGAAAAAAGTTCTACTATTGTTGTAACTAATGTGATTCGGGATGTTGATTTGAATATATTAGCTTATTATTTATATTGTTTCATATGAAAATAAAAGAAAAAAATTTTAAAATACTTGATTTATGTGTGTGTGTGTGTGTGTGTGTGTGAAATGACTTCTCTATTTGAGAATTTTGCATTCTATTTGGAATCTTGCAAAGGGACTCCTTATTCATTTCTCACACTATCCTGTTTCCTTAAATCATGTCTATCCTCTTCTTTTTCTTCTTCAATTTTCTTATTTTTCTTTCACTTCTTCTACCTCCAATCGAACAATCCTCGGCCTAACTTTTTTTGATATATTTTTTTTCTTTTTCTATGCCTTGGATTGAAAAACATGTAGTTTAACTAGATTGATCAACATCCTTTAATCTTTTTTTTCTTAAACTTAAAGATATTTCGTTAAATTTTTAATTATAGGAAATAAAAAAAAATATTTTTCTCTTCAATCATAAAATAATAAAATCATAATTACTAATCAAACAAACCATTTTTCTTTCTAACTTGATAATAAATAGGAAAACCATTATTTCTCATTTAAAAAACAAATTTAATCATTTTCATAATAATTTTTAACATTTTAAAAATATTTCTTTTTATAAATTATAAAAATCATATATAAGGGATCAAATAAAGATGGTTCTTATCTTCTATTTATCTTTCAGCTTGCTTTCCATAATGTCCCAAATTGCTTTGCCTATAATTTTCTTGTATCCATGAAATAAAATTATCTTGAAGCTTCCATTTATATTTTGTTCATTACCTTTGCATTATTGTTGTGAACATCTTCAAGCATACTTTTTTTAATTCTTAAAGAGTTAATTTTCATATTCCAATTCTTCAAAAATATTTTAGATCACTTTTCATAAGCTTGATGCTCTTAATGGACTTCATTTTGATCTTCCAACACTCATAAGCTTCTCTTTGAAATATGGGAATGGTGATTAGAGTTCCCCCACTATGAATTATAGTGTCACTATACATCAAATTTCTCTAGAAAAGAAATCAAAATAAACAATGATACCAATTTCAAGAAAGGAAATAAAAAAATATATATTTTTTCTCATATAAAGGATACACATAATTTATTGATTCAAATCTTACTAAAATTCAATATTACAACTTTATGTATAATATTTTATGGATATTTCATTATTTAGATTAAAAGAAATGCTTAAGTATATGAGAGTTATAGGTCACATCATAAGTGTCTTATTGTTTTCAAGAAGACATATAAGAGCTTAAACATTTATTCTAAAAATTTTTCTCATATGCATAAATATAACATATTTCTATTTAAAATGGCATGGGTAAGAATGCTTAACATGAAATATACTTCATTAAATAAATTACATATAATTTGAAGTGATGATAAAATTATTACCATAGTAGGAGCTGGATCCAGGGCAATCCTAGCCCTAGTGATGACACCAAATTGGCCTAATCCTCCAAAGATAGCATGAAATAAGTCTTGATTGAGGTCTTCTGAGCATGTTAACATCTCCCCCTTTCCTACACCATACAAAGCCATAATGCATGGTTCATATCAAATATTGATGAAAACTAAATGGAAATATAAAAATCATGGAAGAATATAATTTGATCTCAAATAGATGAGACTATCTTTATCATAAAATCTCCTTTCGAAGATGAAAATGTGAGTTGAGATCAATAATTATATCTTGAATTTGCTTTGGCTATCATTTCAACTTAGAATCCAACCAAATTATTTGTTTCTTATTTTTTCAAACTAAGAATGGTGCATGTGCACATGTGTCATGTTTATTATAATTAATTTAGATAAACCTTAACTTTTAACTAATTCATAAACTGTTTAAATATATTTCTAAAATTTCAATTAAATGGCTTTGAAGATCGTTTAGATATTTCCTTTAGCTATCCTATTTAATTTTAAAAATTTTAGTGGTATATCCTAATTTGTTATAATTAAACTTATGTTACTTAATGATTTGATTTGGGTTAACCTAATATTCCCTATGCACTTTGTTGGCCATTTAATCCTAAATTGAACTCATCTTAGGTAACTCTAGCTAATTTTGGGATCTACCTTAGACTATCTTAATTAGCCCTAAGTATGCTAATGGTTTGACTATGGTTGACTTAGTAGATCTACGTGACTCTATCCCATCCTTAGGTAATGACTCTAGTCTTGATCAAGTTGGCTTAAGTTATTAACAATCAACCATAGTTTATAAATGATTAATGGTATGATTTAGACATTCTTAAATAATTCTAAGATTTTTAGTGATTTTCTTAGGAAGGACAATTTTGCACGTATTGTGTCTTTCATTAAAATACTAAGGTAAAGCTTACATTATACCAAAATGATTATTTATTCAACTCATTTTGATATTATTTATTCAACTCATTTTGATATATGGGAACTTCTTAATTACTATCCTAGTGTATGTTGATCGAAGATATTTTTCTTTTTTCTCAAGTAGTTTTTTAAGAAAATTAAAGTCATCTCTATGTGTTGAAGCATAAAAAAAATTAGATTTTAGGAAACTCATGTAATGAAAATATTGGAATACTGTTGCTAAAAGGGCTAAATCTAATTTTATGTATCAATTCAATTACGTATAATCTTTTGCAATAATGATTAAGCATTAGTTGGTGAAACCACTAATTTTTCTTTTAACTTAGTGAATAAACATTCTTCTACAACTCTCGATATCGAAGCTCATAAAGGAATTTGGATAGAATAAGATGTTAAACTACAATAATCTAAATTTTTAAATATTTAAAATGAAAAAAAAATTGACCAAAATTCAAAAGTATCTATTTTAAGAATATTTGAAGAAAATCAAAAGCCTTGTATTGGCTAATAGATAAAATATGGTTTGATTATACTACTAATAGATATGTCATCTTTAGTGGTTGTAAACTAATATATAGTTAGTCATATTACATGAAAGGATTCAAGCATCATGGTGTCGGCACTAAAAAGTTGAGGAGTTGTTAAGTTCACGGCTGCTAGGATGGATATCCCAACACTCGTTTTAATTTAATTTAATACATATATAATTTAGAAAAAAATAGTATTTTAAATTTTTAAAAATACAGTATCAAACCGATCTCGTATCCTCAGTAGTTTAAATAAACGAGCCTAATGCCACAAGTAGTGCACTTATCCCAAGGAATAGATACATTACTTACTGGTGAAGACTCGATTAAATAAACTAAAGATTGTATGACATTTGTTTAAGTCTGTGAAACTTTTTTTGTGTTGACCTACAATTTTTCATATTTAATATGAATAATTAAATAGGACTTATGTTAAGCTGGGTTCGGGAATGTTTTATATAAGAGCAAGCTCCTATAATTAATTACATTTTAGATAATTGAAGTCACCTAAGAAAACTCTGGATAAAAATCAGGGAATATTGTCTTCAAAGAGGTCAAAGGATTAGGACTTTTCAACGAGGTTGGACAAAGAGGTGTGAAAGGGGAATGATTCAAATCTGGAACATTTTATTTTGGAATTCAAAGGAGGAAGAACTAAGGGATGTCATAGAACCGGAGGAGAACCTCGGTGACTTCCCAAGTTATCATATGGTTTGGCTCCAGTTTAGAAGAGAAATTATTGAATATTTCATTCTGACAATTTTATTAATTAGGGCTTACATTCATGTGAAACGATCATACAAATAGCCTGAAAGATATGAGGATTTAAAGATATGAGGATTTAAGTCGTTGAGGGTTTAGGTCGTGACGAACGACAACATCAAAATCTTAAAGCGGGTTAGGGCTTAAATTGCATAGCAAAGCTATACAAAGGCCTAAAGACAAATTGAGGATTATGTTGCATAAGCAAACAACCCTGAAATCCTATGGATTGTTGTTTAATTCTAAAAAAGAAATATGTTATTGTAGATCCTATTGCTGTTCCAGCTAATGAAGAAGATCGTGCTGCCCACAATGCTAGCTCCAAGCTCGTCGTTGTAGCAAGTTTAAGTTTTCTAATGTGTCAAGTTATGATGTCAAATCAAATGTCCATATGGTTATGTTTCCTTAAATTTACTGGGCATATTAAAGTTGATTAAAGCGAGACCGGTTAGGATCCTACGGTTCCCTCGTTCCGGCACAACTATTTTCTATTGGGTTCATTTAGTCCAAATGAATTTACTAAACTCAACTTAATGAGTTTCATAACTTCATTTAGACTGTGGTAAATCTCGTTAGCAACCGTAGGTTACTTCCACTGAGGGATTACCGATCATTCGATAAAGACGTCTTAATTTAGTTTCAATTGTTGTTTTGTGATGTTTGTGATCAAATATTGAGTTGTCTTGTCTTTTGAATGTTGCGGCGGTGAATTAATTTGGTTGATTTTAGTTTTGGTTTTAGTTTCAGTTTTGTGGCTATCCTAAAGGTTTTAGTTTTCATGCAGGGTGACATCGTTCTTTAGCGTGCAAGTTTACAAGCATAAAATTACAATGTAGGAAATTACGAGAAAAGAAAGCGCTGTAAACTATAAAAGCATACCTAACGGGTCTTCTCGTTCCTCTACCCCAAAATTCAGTACGTGCAAAGCATATATATGTATAATTTTACGGGAATTAAAACATGCTTATAGAAAAGATAGAAAGTACAAACTTAAAGTGTGCCTATCAAATCCTATGTCATATTTTAGGTGTATTTAAATTTTAAGTATGATTCTATTAAGCAACTCATAATAAACTCACATGTCCTTCAAGATTTTCAAAGTATTATGAAGAAGTTTCGAGTAATACCCTAGACATTTCATGGTCCTTGGAATTAACTTGAGTTCATTATGGTTTTATCATATTTGCTATATTGTTCATCCAATTAATATCCTTATGCTCAGTGAATTTGATGTTTTGATTATCCCTTAAGTAGGGTAATTATCACTCAATATCTCACTTATGAATTATATGGGTAAAGACCCTTGGAAGCAACTTGACTTAATTAATTAATTGATTTTAAATAATGAGCTTGTAGTGTTTTGAAAGGTTTTAAATTTAATTACAAGTTATTTTCTAAACCTCATTAGAAAATATTTTGATTAAGCCTAGTTCACTATTAAGCCCTTAAGATTTAACGGGTGGATTTATAATTTTAAGAAAAAAAGATTTTTGAATATTTTTACTTTCGATCATGAATTATAAATTATATTAAAACCATTAACTAGTGTTCAAAATCAGTGAATTATGATTTTCTAAATCAAAACCCTCACCTTAATATCTCCATATTTAATTATTCTTCCAAATTTCATTAAATTTTGAAAAATTACAAATTTATCCTTTATGAAATTCAAAGTGAGATTGGTTTCTTCAACTTATCCCTTTTTTGTTTCAACCATCAAAATATCAATTAAGATTATTTATTGCCCATTTAGCCCTTTGGTTAAGCCTAAACATTAATTAAGCCTTAAATTTCAAAATTACCATTTTGCCCCTAAGACCTTAATACCCTATAATTCATTAAATTAGACTGAAAAGACTTGTAAATTTTATATTATCTCACTCCTGAGTTAATTAAAACATCAGAGGAGAAAATATGATTTTTTCTGAATTTAGTTAATTTTTATAATTATTTATCATGCAAAACTCAGAATTTTCAATGAAAATTTAATAACTCAATCAAAATAAAACTTATGTCCTTAAGAAAATTATATGAGATTCATTTGGGTTAGAGGACCACTTAGACCAATTTTAATGATTTTTAAAAATTTAATTTAATTATTAAAACTATTTGTTGGTTTTGAGTATTAATTAAATACAAATTAATATTTAAATGGAAAATTAATTTTTATATTTTTATTAAATTTATTTGAGTCCAGGGAATCAAAGAAATAGATTTCATATTTTTGTAATTTATGTTTTAATTATTGGAATTATTTTAGCAAAAAATTAGAGAAAAATTCATTTTAAGCCTTTTAAATTAATATTTTGACTTAAAAAATTAGGAAAACTATTTTAATTGGTTCAGGAAACTCTTTTTAATTGGTTCTAGATGATCAGGAAATCAAATGTAACATCTTGGTGTGTTTTTATAATTTTGTGATTTTTATGATTTTTAATTCATTTTAATTAATTTAAATGCTTAAAAATGAAGTATTTATTTTAATTCCAATTTTATTTTCCTTAGGTTCCTCTAATCATAAGGAGCTCTCAAAACCAATTTGGTGATTTTTTTAATTGTATTTTAATTTATATAATTATTTTAATGCCAAAAATGTCATTTCACTTAATTAATCCCTTGAGTGGTCAAATTAACTACAATTGACATGAAATTTTTATGGGGAGCTCCTTTAACTTTAAATTATAGTGTGAAATAATTTTTATGTCATTTAAATTTATAATTACTCCAAATTAATTTTTTTTTCATTTTTAGGGTTGGTGACAATTAGGGTTATTTTGAATGAATTAAACCAAGTTTATATTTTTTCTAGGATCTTTTAACTGTAGTGAACCCACCAAAATAAATTTTATATTTTTCTAATGAGTATTTTAATTATTATAATTTGTATATCAAAACAGAGATCATTAACTTAAAAATTAGACATTCATGCCTAGAAAATTAGACATTCATGCCTAGAGATCTTCCCTAACCTTGAAAGTTTAGAAAGAGCATCCCCATAACATGTAGAATCAAAGTCCCAAAAATCAAGTCATGTTGAAATGTTTATGCTAATGGAGAATCAAAATAAGGAAAACACCATTTAATTAATTAAAATAAAATATGCATCAAATAAATATGAAAATATTTCCATATTATTTTCTTCTCTTCACTGAGCAACAAGGTATTTTTATTTTATTTTTATGATTTTTCTACACAAAATTATGCATTTTTGAAGTTATGGATATTTATTTAAATAAAAAAATCCCTACTTTCCTACTTAAGTGACGTGATGCAAGCGCATCCTAGACAGATCCGAAAACTCCACGCGATGAGCTCCTGTTCGACACCACTGTCCACGCGTCCGCCTCGTCAGCCTGCGGTTCCATTCCATCTCCTCATCCGGCGTGATCAGAATCGTCTGTACGATACACACGCAATCCAACAGCGCTTGGTCATCATCCCCAACGAAGCCAACCCACAAACCGTTTGTTTTCAAACCCTAATATGTCGATTGATTCTCAACCAAATCAAGTGTGGTTTGTTCCTATAGACTCGTCTCGACTAGGATAACATATCTATACGATTAATTGACCCTTAAATCAACTCTATACACATGGAGAATCAAATGAAGCTCGGTTTAGGGTTGACTTTCAATACCTTGGTCCAAGAGGGGAAGCCTCAATTGGATGTTTTTGGAAGCTTCGTGGGAGTCCTAAGAGCCTAGGGATGGAGCCTCAAGCCATGGTGAATCGCCTAGATATGAATTCGACCAAAGTCGATTTAGGGGTTTAATCAAAGTCCACCTAAGGGTGCTCTGGTGATGGGGCTTGTGTTGGATCTTTTTCTCTTGATGTGGGGATGGTGTGGGTGCAATTAATTTAAATTTGGTGGAGGTTTTAGGGGTTGCCTGTTTCGGTCTAGAAATTGGGCTCAAAAATTAAGCTCGAACAGTGGCTTTGAGTGACTAAGGATGGTTGGGTTAAGCTCAAGATGTCTCAAAGAAACTCTGCAGCAACTTGACGGAGTCTCCCAAGGAATTTCAAGGTCTTTTACTTTGGCCATGGAGGGGAGTTTAAATAGATGGGGAAGGAGAGGCCACCAGGAGCAATTGGTGGGTGTCCTAAGTTGCTTATGTGGATGTCAACAATGTGTGAAAATCTAATTGGGATGAGCCAACTTGGATGGGTTTAATTTTAAGTTTTGTCCATGATAGAGCTTTTGATTTTGGGTTTTCCGGCCACCAAGGTGGTTGGCTGGCTAGAGAGGGGTTACCATCTAACTCAGGGAGGTCAGAGCTTGGTTTTGGTGAAGTCAGTTGGCCATGTGTAAAGTTTTTGGACTGAAATAATATGGGAAAAGGGCCACTTTGGGTCAATTTGGATCAAATCATGATTTGAGTTGGGTTCAGCCACCAAGGTCTGTCTTGGACTGAAGAGGAGATCATTTGATTCAGCTTAATCAATGGGGATAAGTCACCATCCAAAGAGATTTGGCTAAACATGGGTTAGAGTGATTCATGGGAGGGGTTAAAACCTTTTTAAGGAGGCTTGAAAGTGGTTTGACCTCTTACCATTAATAGTTTGATGATGTGGCAAGACTCTGATGGCTTTTCTATGGCTTGAGAGTGGTTTCATGGCTTGCATGTGGCTTGACTAATTTTCATGAGGAAGGATTTTTTATTGATTTGGTATTTTTGGTGGATTTTGTCATGAGGCTTGATTTGGAATGATTTGATTATGAATTTGAAACTTAGGGAGTGTTTTTAATTGAATGGATGATGAAGAGAAAAGAGATTATTATGTGGGCTTCAGATTTGGGATTTTTTGAAATGACTTAAATATTTGAGCTTTTAAGATTGACATTGAATTTGGGCTAATTGAATGTTCATTTTGGTGTATGGAGATGTCATGAAGGATTTGGAAGAATTTCAAGAGAGTTTGAATTGAATTGGTGAACTAATTTGATGGATTTAGGCATATGGCCAAATATGGGGCTTTTTTATTTAAGTAAAATTGGGCTTGCAATTGGATCAAATTGGGCTTGAATTTTGTTTAGAATAGGATTGTGGATGCTGAATTTTGATTTGGAATTGAAATTGGGCAATATTTGGGCCAATTAGGCTAAGATTGTGGCCAATTTGGGGACATTTGGGCCTTTAAGGTAAATTGGATTTTTTGGTCAAATTTGACTAATTTGTCAAATTGGGTCAAATTGATGATAAAAATTTGAAATTGGGAATATTTGGGATGATTTTGGGATTTTTAGAAATTTTTGGAATTTTTAGGTCATGAGGGGTATTTTGGTAATTTTGGGCAATTTTGGATGTATTTTGGGAATTTGGTAATTTTTTTGAATTTTGGTCAATTTAGGCAATGGTGGGGGGTTTGAGATGATTTTTGGGGATTGAACTCGTGACCTGAGGGGACTTAGATCAGTTAGTCGGACATCTGCTTGTCAATTGTAAGTCCCCTCTGGTCAGGGGTTCGATTCCCCCCAGTGAAGGGTGTGGTACTCGAATTGTTAGGCTCATAGGAGATGGTCGAGGCTCATATAATAGCCTCAGACCGTTCCTGTTATGTATATATATATTATGACTGTAGATGGACATCTTATAATAGAATAGTATTGCTTGTAACTTATTGTGTGCATGATTATCAACAACATTGTAAAAGAACTCATTTTAGAATACTTTCATAATTCTCTTAAGCATTGCAATATTAGTATAACCCGATGATAGAAATGACACCAACTATCTACTATTTTATGGTTATCCGTGCCTTAATTTTATTGTTCATTATTTATGTAACTTCATAGATGGGATCTGACCTATCAAACTTGTTATAATTTCATTTATATGAAATTCTATCAGATCATTTAGTAGGCCATCAACAAGAAAGCAATTTTTTTTAGGAGTTTGATCTTATTATGTTTTATTAAATTCAAATAATTCTATTTGGCGTTCTGTTAGGTTTTAATTAGTTTTCAATTGCTTTTAAATTGAAATGGAGGACAGTGTCGTGTGTGGGCTTAGAATATGACAGCATGGATTGGGATTGAAGGTTGCTGAGACAAAAGAGAAGGAAACAAGTAACAATAGTTCATCTGCCTTATACGCTAGAAGGAATTGGAACATGTAAAGATAATTCAACAATGCTCTTGTTCTTTGGCAGTGTTTGGCTGTAAGCTGAATTTGCGTTAAATAGGATTTATCAAATTCAATAAATTTAAGCGACAATATGATGGAAATCATCTCACGAGCGACGACAGCAAAAAATTCTTAAATCCATCTTAAAATAGAATTTACTAATTCCGAATTTACATCTTGAAAGATATGAACCGCCGGAAGAAAATACGAGACGTGAAAAATTTTGATTTAATAGAGCGTTGGATTTAACTTTCATGTTCTTGATGTTGGTGAGACTTTGCGAGCGTGAAGTGAGATAGAAGGATGGTATAGATTTTCTGTCTTGTCAAATGAGCTTATATGAAAGCTTTTCCCCTCTGTTTACTGGTCTGCATTTATTTTGTCATTTCAATTATACTTTGCGGTTTAATGTATTACTGTTATGATTATGGCCACTCTTTGCAAGTATATGCGTGCATTGTATGCTCTTTATTTCTGTTTTAAAATCTGAAAGAGACAAAGATATCAGAAATTGTCTCATTCCGGAAAGAGATTGTTATGCTACATTAAATTCGATTGGAATATATAATTCAAATTGTAAATAAGGATTTAAATTGTTGGGATTTTTACATACATGACAACCGAAACATTGTTATTTACAAATCTAATACGATTTTTCGTTCATTTTTCAAATTCTGGCTCTAATATCAAAATACGTGATAAATCACTAATGTATTCATTTTTATTAAATTTTTAATGATTTGATCCATTACACGTAAAAAAATATGACTGTTAAAAAATATCACAGGAATGCTAAATTTTATAAATAGTAATATTTCAATTACTTTATATGTAATTATTCCTAAATTGTTGGTTAAGTATCTTTATAAGTTTGCTTGTTATTTGTGTTGGTTGAAATTCTAGCATTAGTATTGTTCGAATTTTTGTTTGGAAATTGGTTAGAAAATCCGTTCAAAATCAAAAAAATAAATAAATAAATAAATATCTAATGATGCTAATAATAATACATTCTAAAACAAAAATATTCACGGTTTAGCTCAAAATAAAAGTTTCTTCATCAACAGAATGTGCTGCAATGTAGATCAAATCACGCCGTGCGTTTAATAATTGATGTGATTCACATTGTAATCCGTAGAGTTTAGGATGCATTTGGAGCAGCTTGTGCATATCCAGATAAGTCGTTTATCTGGAAACACGGACCTCGATGTTCGACCCACTTTCCGCGTTTAGTGTAAAAAACAAACTGTTTTTTCGGATAAGCTACTCAAACCCAATTTCTAAATTGTGAGACAGTATTTTCAAAACGTCGTCACAGCATATAAACTGTCCCAAACGGAGGCTTAGTGTTTTCTCACAAATAAAAACAAATAGTAGAAACAAAAAGTCATGTGAATACTTACCGGTGATGACATCCAGCTCTAAGACGTTTCTCACGAGCGGCCCATGCCTGAAACTATAGCCACCGACTCCGCCAACAGAGATTGTTCCACCCACAGTGAGATCAAGATAATCTAACCACCCCCGCGCGGTAAGCCCGTGTTTTATCACCTCTCGCAACACCTCCGCCCACAGTTGCTCCGCCCCTACGTCCACGAAGGGTCCGCAGCAGCCGTCTTTCGACACGTGGATGCGGTTTTTGCCGTCGCAGCTCGCCAGAGATCTCAATTGAATCGAATTCCCACCGTCCACTGCCACTGATTGTCCCCATGTTGAGTGTCCCTGGGCATGTACCATGCATGGAAATATGTGTTATTGTTGTTATTTATTTGATTTTTATAAATTCTAAATTAATTTATATTTTTTAAATTTTATCATGAAAAAAAACTACATAGTTCAGTTCTTATAATTGTTTGTAGCATATAAGTGATTTTTATAGAGCAAAAGTGAGAATATTTATGTAATATTCTATAGAATTATTGTGATGTGCCATACTTCTATTTTTATTAAATAACAACAAAATAATATAATGTTAATTTTTTTTCTTAATTTCCTCCTAAGCTAAGCACAAAAATTAGGTAAACTTATGATTGCTTGAATTTTCATTATAAATGGATAAGAAAACTTTTATAATTTTAAATAT